GGGCAGAACTGTTGCATTAAGAGGCGACAGCAGCCTACTGTAAATCAAGACCGGCCTACAGAAAACTTCGCATGTAACTTTCCGTTAAGTTTTGCGACGAGATAGGTCGGGCATCTTGCGAGAGGGGTGGGGGTGGGAATCGCAGAGGCAAACGGGTGCTGGAATGTCTGGACAGATAGAAATAGACTGTCGAAGTGAGCGGTCGGCTCGGAGATTTGTTTGAAATTTTAACGGCGACTACCGCCGCACGAGAAACTGGTAATAATCTCGAGCCAGTAATTTCGATAACTTCAGCATCGAAATTTACTCCGAATGTTGGACTAGAACCATCACGAGGGAGTGTGCAGCATTGTTTCTCGGCTGTTAAACACTACGCGAGCGGTCCAGGCGACGTTTGGCGGCCTGTGATCAGCGCATCAGACGTTGCGGCCTCAACTCCACTGGACTCCGGGCGGTCTCCGACTCAACCAGGCGCAGATTCCTGCCGGCTTCCGGAAGAAAAATCCATGGCTATTCGGCGGCCATCTGTTGCCACGACTACCAGTTGAGTGTGTAATCCTTTGGGTGAAGTATCTAAATTCCAGCCATCACACACTGTAAGTCATTATTCAATTAACCGCTCGATGGTAGAAGATCAACACGAACAATAAACGTGTCCCGTCGTTTTGTCGGGTGATTTTACTAGGAAAATGTGTATTTTTTAAGAATTAGTTAGTAAATGCAACCTCCGACAGGCGCCCACCCCTGTTGATTCTCGACGCCGGGCCCAGATACAGGTAGGCATTACGCTTGGCGCCCCCGTAAATAAATTTTACCGCATGCTCCGGTATCCGGAAATACCGTCGCACCTTGAGTGTGACGGCACCCTATGATAGTGCGACTCACTGCGACACGAGTATTCACGTCAGCGATGTTCATACAATAAATTGGCGCCCAACGTGGTTTTTCTATTTCGAATAATTTTCGCTTGTGTTACACATTATTTGACGCCAACGTGCTTTTACTGAATACTTGAGCTTGTGTCGTATTCATTTATTAATTATAATTATTTGTAATGCTCTTATTTGTTTCTTACAAGGTGTCAACACTTGCGAAATTTTTGCCCAACTGAAGGTTGCATTTGCTTCCTATTATTGTTTAGTTTTGTATTTACTTTTTATTTATGATTCAGTTTGCGTGTGAGAACATTGTTTTTCTTCGATACAATTCTGTTAATTATAGCGTGTGTGGGTGCACTATATAAATTCACGCCCAAAGTGTTTTATTATGAACGTTAAATTCATATTTGTTACGTCAAGTTATTCTCATTAATTTATAAGTATTGCATTTTGACGCTGGATTTCTTTTATGCGTCATCACTTGCTTAATTTACCTAATTGAAGTAGAGAACAGGATTCCCTGGCCTCAGTTCACCAGAACATACATGTGCAAATCTTGGTAAATATAAAACATTTCAATCACATTTTAGTGATTGTATGTAGTAATAGGGATTGTTCTGTTGTAGAATTTGTAAACATTCTTCATTTCATCAGTCCTACAAAATAAGTACTGGGAGGCATGAAACAATATTTTGGGAGAGTTTCGATTTTTTTTATACCGAAAATAAAGTACTTTTCTAACATTTCCACAGCTCTCCTTTTGGACAATGAAATCGCAAAATTTCTGCTAGTATTACATTAAATTTATAATAGTAATAGTTATATTAATAATAATAATAATAATAATAATAATAATAATAATAAAGATACTTTATTTATGTGGTATGTATAACACTTTTGCTCGCTCCTCACGTAAAATTGTCTCGCCAACATTACATACAAATTCTCTGAAATACGCAAGGATAAAATATACTGTGGAGCATGGAATTCAAAACCTGAGATCGTCTGCCGCCATAAGAGCTGCAGTGGTGCCCTTCCCAGTCCGAACAAGCGTTTAGGGAACCCGCTTCATAAAAATATATCTTACATTAGTTGTTAAAGAGGTACGAATAAACATTTTTGAAACTGCAAAGATTATAGTTTATTTTTTAATTACATTATCCCAATGTTTTAATATTGTTGGGAGGCTCATAGTTCGGTTTCGTTTAAGACCCTGTAAGTTTTGACCGGCCTGGCGTTTTTTATTGCAATATGACACGGACGGCAACGTGAATTCGAAACCACGACTGCCTTCGCTTATTTATTGCTTGCTGATGGAGGGATTTTCCGAAGGGAAACTTTTACTTCGTTTCAGTCACTCCTCGTGGAACGGAACTCAGGTATAGACCATATTTTGAAGACGAAAACGATTTAGCTTTTGTCACAACAATAAAAGGGGCAAAAGAGGACGTTAAAAAATATTTTATCACAAATATTTAGGCAAGATTAAATAAATTAAATAAATGCGTATAACTTCCATGATGTAGTAGCATTCAATTCACGCCAACCATGAAACCCTTCCAAAGGAACATTAGAAATTTAAACAAAATCGCATTCGTTTAATTTTCTATTTCATTCATTACGAAGTAGGTCAGTATTTTTCATGATTACATACCAAGTCGCAAAGAAACTATCAGAAGCAGAATGATCGGATTATTTAATTTCTCTATGACGATATCGTTAACGATAAAGCATATACAAGTTGAAATGACGCCAGAGTTGCATTTTCTCTTCCTAGAAACCACAACCGACTCTCTAACCACTCTTGTTAGTGTGGCATGCGAGCACAATATCTTGACACACTTAATTTTTTGTAAACAAATGCGACTCCAACGCAATACATTATGATAAATTTAATTGCGTTGACGATATTCTAACCAGATAAGTCATTGTCATAAAAAGGACATTTTAGCGTCCCCTTTTCCTGTCAAAAAATACGGAACAGGATAAAGGACCGTTTCGATTAATACGAGACGCATGACCACCTAAAGCTGGGGAAATGCCAATGACCCATATTGGACGATGTTTGTCCCATAAGAACTGCTCAACTCCAAATCATTCTCCTATCAGACGTATTTCATAACTACTGATACGCTTTTCGAGCATTACTCTATTTTAAGGATATAAAATAATAAATTTTATTTATTTCGGCACGCTGCATTAGTGAATTCTCTTTGCGATATATTATCATTCACATTTAATCGACATTTGATGCTGATATGTTTTTGTATCTTAGTTTTAATCTTGGCACATGGAACTGAAGACCTCGGAGCAATAACGTACTAACATACGTAAGTTTTGAGAAAAAGGCAAGCAGTCTTCACATTAATTTATGAATTACACTGACATCTTGTGGAGAATCTTTAAAGTAAAATTCCAACGTCTAGATACATCTATGTGACGTCGAAAATACACGAATATCTCAATTTCATTAAAAATGTGATATATGTTATTATTTCCCTAAGGTCTTCAATTTATGATTTATTGAGAAAGTTGCACCATTTAGTGAGAAAAGTTTCGTGTAATTATTAAGAATATACTGCTACGTCGACGCAAGAAAGGTCTCCAAATTAAAGGTCAGTTGAACAGGGATATTGTCTTCTCTAATATTGGGAATAAAAGATTTTGCTTTTCTTTTTTTTTTCAGCTGAAACCTTCAACCAAACTCTAGTTTTTAGTTCCCTTGCCACCTCTATTGTACATTATTAGTTGAGGAGCTACTAATCAAAACGCATATTGACCGCTGGTGGAAAAACATTGAGTTTGATATGAACTCGTGTAGTTTTCGTTCTACACGCGTTCGTTCTACGTTCTAAACGCCCCTACTTTCAAATTCCTTCAAAATGCATTTAATTTAATGTGTTAAAACGTGCCCTTCATGTTATATTTTAATGCCAATATTTATAAGACATTTTGAAATTATTCTTTAAATATAAAATAAAGGAAAAGAAATAAATTATTTTCGTTCGGATTTTCGCCATTAAAATGCACAAGTTTCTCGTTTGAAGCCAGGAGGAAACCTTCAATTCTTATTTTTCAAATTTTGTGCTACAAGTGGGCACTTCTGGTACAGTAAACATCGTAGTGTCGAAATTTGAAACAATTAAATAAGCCAACCTACACAATTTTTCTCATAAGAAAAGTGGCATATTTTACTAAAAATAAATTAATGACCGATTAAAGCAAATTAAAAACTGGTTTTTAAATACGTAATTTTGAAACTAGTTGCCAATGTGAAGCTTTTCTGTATGTCCTAACGGTGGTAATCACGATTGCATTTATTTGTGCCAATAAAACACTGAAAAATATATCATTTTGACATTGATTTATTACTCCATACTCACACGAAAGGCAGTGAGATATCTTTCTCCACGCCAGCGCCAACCAACCTCAAAAGTGAAGTTTCTTGCTTTGATGGCTTTTAACGACTCTAAAAATTGGACAGTAAAACATCACCAATAAAAAATATCATAAAGGGGTCAATTAAATGTAGTTTATATTGAGACTCTCGAACTTGTCCATTTTAAATCCGAATTGCGAAAAATATTAAAACAATTCTAACTGCTGCCTGCCAACCTTGGCCTCCTCTTATGTATAATTTAGAAAAATTTAAGGCTAGAGTAAATAACGCCCATTTAATATTATATAATAAGGTTGTGGTTAATTAATTACCCACCTAGAATTTGACAAAAAATTAAAAAATTCAATTTTTTACACTGATAGTCGCGTTGATCGATTTATATTAAAAAGTGTTTAACAAGTACATATTTTATACCGTTATCATGTTTTTTACGAAAACGTCAATACAAACATACCCCCACCCATGATACTACCCACGTGAAATTTATCCGTTTCGCCGGCACTGGCCAGAACAAGTTCTGAGTGTAATTAACTTTTGTAAGCAAGTTTTACAATTTTTTCCATGTTGTTCCATGGTTTCCAATATGTTTCATACTTCCCTCTTATGGGGAAAAAGATTCCATCGCGGAACGGGAAGGAATTTGGAGACCCCTCTTACGTCATCGTCTCATGAGCAACTGCTCCAAGTTTCTACGGTCTAGAAAGAGACGACCTATCACTCACTCTCGTCTGTCTGGGGCGCGGAGAGGATGTCGCTGTGCTTCTTCTTCACTTCTTCGACGCTCGCCTCGATTTTGTCTATCATCCCCCGGATCTCCTCCACCTGCAAACACCAGCCTTCAATTTGTGCCCCAAAAATAGCTGAAGGGTTACGACCTTAGTCCAAAAAGTGAAATTTTGAGCTACTAGAGCTGTTGCTGGAGCTTCTTAGCAGCCGTTCGCTGACCGTGTTGTGAACACTATCAGCACCTGTCCGTAGTTTTATCTCCGAAAGTTTGAGTGGTTTTGAAAAAAGAACCGTAGTCCTCAATTTTTTTGAAACAGCATAGTCCAAATATTGTTTTTGGACTATGGTTGTTATAAAAAAAACTTCGATTATAAATATATTCAAAGAACAAAGGGAAAGGGATATTGGTTAGAACTTCAAAAGGATATATTTCTCAAGGCAGAGAAATAATTTCTTGCTTGATTGCAAAACACACGAAGAAAATTTACTAATAAATTTATAAAAAATCACCGGTAGGTTAAACATTTACTTTACTGACAGAAAATTGATAAATGTATTAGGATAGTATCAAATTAAAATTGATATTATGATAGTATCAATTTCTACAAATATATGGCAATTATGTTAATCTATATTTCATCTTCATTCACATCTAACTATCAATGATCATTGACCTTGATATTTCTTGAAATCTTTCGTCACATTAAACCTGAATTGATAATGTAAGGTAGAATAAAGTTTTAATAAGTTAAATAACATATTGTTCAATAAAAATTGGTACAAAATATGAAAACACTTCTTAATCAAGGATCTCATTCAATTTTGAATACAAACTATAAAGTTAATTTTTCGTTCTATAAACGTAAAAATAGATAATTGGTTAATAATATATGAAGATTTCATTTTTGAAATAAAATATGCAACAATAGCCATATGAAGTTAGGATTAAATTAATAACTTGGATCAATACCCATAAATTTATATTCCTAATAACATCATATTTTGTAATTGTAATTAATAATCACATTTAATGTCATTATATGGAGGTACATTAACCTCTACATTCTGGAACAGAAAACAGGTCAACTGTTACTTCCACATACTACAATGTGGAAGAAGGGAAAACAATCAATGGAGACATGGGGAAATGCAATTTTACTAGATGGAATAAAAACTCACTTCTGCAAAAAACTCGTCCATGAACCCGTCCCGCCCTTCCATGTCCACAGCATGATCTTCGGGGAAATCATCTTCCTCGTCACTCTGTGCCTGCGGGACACCGACACTTATTAGCCACTTTTGTTTATCACAGCACATTCGCTAAATACGAATATCGTAATCTACAAACTCATCTCACTAAATACCTTAAAATCTACAGAATTTCAAAAGTAGTATAACACATTGAAAGTAAACACTGTTCATGTTAAAGGAATGATGTAATCAACAAGTAGCGTGCTCAATCAGCACGTATTGTCAACAGGTACAATCAATAAGTACCTCCATTTTAACCGAACAGCATTATACCTTCGTCAAAAAATGAAATATTTATAACCGCATCTAACTACAAAGGAAGGCACTGCAAATAACTTAAATGTTACACTTTGCATCTTACAATTCAATTTGGTACCAAAATATTTTATATTGATGCTTCATGCGTGGGATGGGTTAGGTTTGCAAATTAAACAGAAAACTCCACACGGAACTTACTGCTTTTAGAGCTGCTAATCTATCCTTGGTCATCTTCTAACCTTCCAATTCACTCTGTGTGGATCTGTCTTGCTCTATAGAAACATCCCATGCACAAATATTCCCATGACACGACACTTAAACTAACGAAACAGACACTAAGAACATAAAAATCGATACCCTTACAAGTTTACTGCAGGACACTGCGACTCGCTCCCGACCTAGTTACACCAGGCTCCAGCATCCGTTCCGCGCTGCGCCGGAACTGCGGAGGCCCTGCAGAGGCACTGCAGTATTTTCAAGCAGGATCGAGCATTTGCAACGCAACAGGCTCGATTCGATATCTCGATATTCGACGGGGCTCCTCTATCAGTCAAGAACGAGACAAAATGTACACAAATGCATCAGTTAGCCTAAATTATGAGATCTGGCGGGCATGGTATTGAATTTCTGAGCGTATATTAGTGTCTGGGCCTCCGGGTCGATACTCACGGTATGGTTTTACTGCTGCGAGTCGGACGGGCAGCTCGCCTCCTCCGAAGCAAAGGCGGTTGCCGTGGCCGTGTCGCGATCACTTACCGCAGTCTGAATTTAAAAGTCCCTTGATGATGGTGGAGTACCCTTTCCTTTCCAAAGAGGCCACGGATACTGAAATGATATGTCGCCATGGTGGCTGCCACAGGAAGGTACAGATAATACGCACCATTTTGCTATACTCAACGTACTGTCGACATAAAATCATGTTTCGTATTTTCGTGTACATCTACAATAGAATTAAAATGTATACAATTATTAAGTACAATTCATTTAGCTCTTGGGACCATCATTGTAGGAAAATAAGCATTTAAATTCATATTGTTATGTCATTGCCATTAATGAGCGTTCCAATAATCATTTTTTATATTATACTCTTTTTTACAAAATATAGTTTTACGCTCTTATAAAAATGAAATAATGACTATATCTTACTCCTTTTCATATTTTCCGCCCTACTGCCAATTCCGCATCCCGAAAACATGTCTTTCAAATAATTAACCAAATACTAAATCTTGAGTAATAGCTGCTACTGAAATTATAGTTTCGCCATAGAAGATAACGATGACATTTTATTGTTGATTACATTTCTATGTTAATGACAAATTGAAATATTTCCCTATTTTTTACATTTATAGTTATCCCTTTCGTTTGCAGAGATAACCAAACAGTCGGTAAAGATAAGATGTTCACATTCATTTATTATTTAGTACCAATGATTGGAATTGTAGTTATATGTAAACTATAGAAAATTAAATATGTTAATCAGCTGAAAATTTATTATAATAACTGAAATGTTGTTTCAGTCCTGATTTAAATGATGAAACGAAATAAAATCATGAAAAATAACAAGTTACGTAAATGTTCGAGTGTTTCGGTCTTCGAAACAAAATATGAAGGACGCTTGGAGCATCCTGAAAATGACAAAAGTTTTGTTGCTGAGAACTTCCGAGAAAAGCAATTTTTTTAGTAAAATATACGAATATTATTTTCCCCAATTTTAAACAATAATTCGAGAAAGTTTTGCAAAGTTATAAGCAACATTGTTTGTGTCTTTACTTTTCTTTTCCCGTGTCTGAAAGCGATCGCTTCATGTTTCAGGCGGCCCTGCACCCCGAGTGGAGATCGAGCCTAAGCGAACACGGCAGCGAGACCATTCGCAAATCCCAGCGCATCTCACGGGCGAGGCGCGGGCTGTGTTATTGATCTGCATGCCCCCCTCCCCCCGACCCCACCCCCGCGGCCGGCCGGAGGCTCGCAGGGGCACGGGCGGGGGGCAGCGACTCGCGCCACGCCGCGTCACGTCACGCCACAAACAACCCACAACACCTGCCCCCAAAAACACAACAACGTGTTGTACAATACAAGCATACACAAGGAACAGAGTCGCCATGCATACAAGAACCACCAGGCAAGTTTCACGTTGGCCTTCTTTGCACCGCCTCCCTACTCAAGTCCCCCTCCCCCACAAGCAGGAAGGAAAACACTGAACACACAACACTTGATGGGTCAGAGATAACAGACAGTCAAAGAACAACACAATATCTACACAATATAACACCAGGGTCGTTTTCATTGAAACACTATACACAAATAGCTGCTAACAAAGTTTTACTTCATACATTTCAACAAGGTCATCAGGTAAGAATTAAAAATGATTCATCAAAGCAAAAATTACACTGATTAAAATTAATTTATTCACATCTAATAATTTTTTCATTAATAAACAAATTTGGTACAATAATGACAGTGGGAACAATGTTACTTGGTTTCATCTGATTTTCACGAAGAGACAATGAGACATGAACATATGCATCGTGATTATCAGTGAAGTAACAAAGGTGGAGTGAGGATCGTTTGCATACTGACTACTTCACACATCAAATGAGTTGCATGCAAACTTGCAAGTGAGATACACTGCGTTGGGCGCTCAACAGAGAGAGTTCCATTTCTCACTTTCAACCAAAACACAGACATGTGGCAGTAGGCACAATCAAAGTATTAGGCCGAGGCTACACGCTCAGTCATGTTCGCCAACATGATTCACGCAAACCAATGAATAACAAACACCAGCAAGTTGGGCGTCCCAGGCACAGTCTCTTTGCTCAGTCTTCGGGTCTCGCGAGGATGCATTCGGGTCTTTCGGCGCGCGACATTCCAATGTCCACTGCGAGGTGACATTTGCAACTTTTTGTTTTATTTTATTTTATTTTATTTTTTCAAACAGCAAATAATGAAAAAATCAATGTGGAACTTAATTGGGGTTCCTGAAGAGACAACAGTAATTCCATATTAACACGTCATGTGGGTGTTGTGGTTGGCGTCAAATCAGCGAGTTCTTTGGTAAGAGAGAAGAGAAAGAGAGAAGTCGCAGAGATCAGCCTTCAGAGTATCTACGTTAAACGACAGACAAAAGCGAACGACAGGCAATCGTGTTTCTCAATTTTCCGATTGTTAGGCCGAGATTTGGCCATCTTAACCAAGCATTATATTACAAGTTATTTCGAATTCAAAATTATTTACATGACTAATACATGAATAAATAAGCGACATCAGAAAGAAGAAAGGCCAAATTTGGAATTAATTTCAATGTGATTTCTCTGAAGTCACCTTGGCAAGTGGTCCCGATATTTATTGATCAAACTCTGTTGCTAGGTCCCTGCCTCAACCCCTCTAACCTAGTCATTGCCTGCGCTCGTCACAAATGTCTTCATTAATCTTCTCCACAAAATTCTTCAGAATGTCTTGCAGATAATTTCTTTTAGACTGGTTTACTTGAATTTTTTCTCTCACTTCAGTGTGGGCATCATCTATGATAGGATTGTAAGGAATTACCTATAGAGCTACATACATTCTCCTCCTGACATTTTTTTCTTTTGATAACCTTAAACTTGGCATATTATTAATATTATTATTATTATTATTATTATTATTATAATTATTATATACACCAAAATTTCACAACATTGAAGATCCCAACGAATCATAGTTGCCCCAAAGTGTAATTTTATGAGCCATAATTCACAGAAGTTCAATTTCCAAAGTTTATAAGGCAAGAAGTCAGCAGTAATAATATACAGTATTAAATTATTTTATTTTTGACCACATTGATCAGAAATATTTTTCAGCTGGAAAACATGAATATTCAGGCCTCTATGTAAAATGGCCATCACATCACACGATTAGAGGCAAAATCTAATCAGTTTTTCGGTTGTCCACTCATTGAAAGAAACTTTAATGGTATTCTGAACTCTAATTCCCAGATAAGGTGCCCAAAATATTGGCCACATTGTAGACATGCAGAGATAGAGTAAAAGGTTGAAACGTGTCGGGGGTTAATAAAACATATTAACTGCAAAACTCTCGGAAACTATTTTTATGAATACTACAGTATCTCTATACTGCATATATAAAGATTGAAAACGGTACATAATGTTATTATATATTCATAAACAACATGTTTATCTGTTGATACATTTACAATGTATTAAAAATTGTATTTTGATATATTATTGTTATATGCCTAAGCAACGCGTTCATGCTGATATTACAATTACAATGTTGTATTTATGCTAATAATATTCATGAATACACAGCGCATACAGGTTATTATGGACATATCGTCCTTGCCTAAAGTCAGTCAAGACTGAGCTAAAAGTCTGCCCGTGTATCTACACTCTGCATCTTGCTTGCGCAAACCTCCAAGACAGAAGGTTTTAAAGCGCAACAGTGAACACACCAAAAGGCTTCCATCAGCTGCAACAGAATTCTTCTCCGTGTGTCCGCCTTTCAACATGCCCACACAGGTGTGGTTAGTGCAGACAAGTTGGCAAACATATCTGAGCGTGTAGATCCAGCTTTGGAAAGGGAAGCACAGTGGTCAAGATAAGACATCAGCCACTCACATGCTGCCTCTTCAGAAGCCGAGGTAGCTGGCCACCATGCTGACAAGCACTACGCCCAGCACTGTCAGACAGAGGAGCATCATGATCTTCTTCTGCAAAAGGGAAACAACCACACAGATTAGATTGGTTCATCAAAGAAGCAAACCTCTCATAAAGAATTGCTAATGATAATAGAACTTGTGGCAATTTGTATTATCATTTGTACTCATTTTCTAAAACTAATAAACATTGTTTATATATTTATTGCTAACTTTATTTTATTTTCTATAATGCGCCTTAATTTTAAAATTGTCATTTCCATTTTGTCTCTTACTTTGTGTTTGTTATTCAATGCTTTTACTGGAGCTTCAGATATGTACAGTTTTTATAAATGTATTGGACTACTTAGCCTGTTGTATCTTTTTTCAGAAAAAATAAATAAATAAATACATTGAAAAAATTTAACCTACTATTTTTAGAAAAGTAATTTGAACATTCTCTACTAATATTGTTTTAACATATAATACATTAAACATTAACCATGAATATATAGAAACAGAAAGTTAATTTTATGTTATAGTGCAATTAAAAAATATTGTGTATAATATCATGATAAATTTAGCCAGTACAATTGCATTTCAGATGTTAATTTTCAGTGTTTTAAAATTCTTTCATCAGAGGATTAGCTTTGCCGTTCAATGTATTTGTATTATATTATTTATTTTAGTCACAAAAGACAAAAGTAAAAATATACTATAATTAAAAAAAAAAAAAAAATTAGGTGTTCAAATAGCAACTTGAAAAGGAGCAATACAAAAGACATAACATGACAAATTATATTTTAATTTCAGAAGCTTTTTCTTAATTGAGATATCTGTGGAAAAATAAAATCAAAGAAAATGTACTTGTTTTATGCAGTGAATTATTATTGTGATACATAAAATAACTTTTCAGCAGTCAATTGCTTTAATTGTTTTTTCATATCCTGTCTTCATT